TCTGGATACCAAAGAGGACCTTCATTTAAAGTTGATCTTTCAATGCTTCCAAACCAGCTTGTTGTACATCTTTAATAGACTTCACAGGAACACCATGCTTGATGACTGAGTTAATGATTCTCTGTTTCTCAGCAGCAGCAACTTGTTCACGGTTGACTTCTTTTGCCTCTCATGTTTAGCAATCCTTTCCGGTCCATGAACTTTCAGAAATAATGAATTTCTGTTTCTCAGCCGTCAGCTTGACGATCTTTCCCCTTTTTTGCCTCTCATTTTTAGCAATCCATGGGGCAAGTTTTAGAAGTGCATTATGTTGCCTGTGACGCAGATGTTTCGCATGTTTTTCTTGAAATGCCAACAACTGACTGTAACACAGTTGCTGATTTTGCTTCCAGTCAAGATGTAGTCTAGTTGCCCTTGAAGTGATACATGTCTTGTTTTTTTTTTCTTGTTATTTTCACTCCAAAATTAAAATACTATTAGCAAATTTAAATCTTGAGGGTGATTAATAAAATCTTTTATACTTGCATAAAAGAAAAATCTAAGAAGATTTTACTTGAGTAAAAAAAAAAATACTCAAATTCAACCGTTAGCAAACTAAAATTTCATGAACCTTATAAAAAAAATAACTTAATAAAACTCGAAAAACACATTTGTTAAGAGTTGATATTTGCATAATTTAAGATTTTTCTTTCACATTTCACACAATAAATCTACATAAATAATTTTTAAAGTGTACTTGTAATTTTTGATGGCAGTTGTAAAATTTCTTCAATAAGGTATTTTTCTATTAGATGAAGATGCGTTCCAAGAACTGAAAAATATAAAGATTGATACCATTTTTCAGTGTTAATGCTAGAAAACAACTTTGTGATTATAACAGCTCACGAGTTATCGTTCATAAATACACTTTATATTAAGTTTTAAGTTTTATTTTTACAAAATTCAATAAGCTATTCCTTAAATTTAATCATTCACTGTGAAATAAAAGACAAACACCAAATTTTTAAGAGATTTAAAAAATATATTTTCATCTACCGTCAAAATGGCGATTAGGCGTATGACCGAGGCAATATTTTAAAAATGTCTTAAAAGTTAAAACATCATATAAATACGTAAAATTTTTATTTATTTATTTATTTTTATTTTACAAGATAGCCGGAAGAGAGTTCCACAAGCGAGAAGTGCAAGAAAATAAACTACTGGCCTAGAACTTACTATTGCATATATCCAATTCAACTGCGAAACTATTACTGAACGTAACTTCAATCCATAGTTGTTCTAAAAATCTCTTCGTAGCTAGACCGCGTGAATTTAAGCGTAGATTGGCTACCAATCGTTGTACTGTTGAAATAGCTAGATGTGACCGTAAATTCTAAGTTTCTTTTTTGGAACTTCTCGCCTTGTGGAACTCACTTAGATTCCTTGTCTTCCTGCCATTTAGAACCTTCAAAAATTAAAATGCGACGTCAACCGCCATCTTCTGTCTTCCTGAAACAAGTTCTTTTCATTGCCCTTTATCCTGACTAAAGTTTTCTCAATTTCTTCCATTCTTAGTACCTCACCTTGAGTGGCATTAACGTCTTGCTTGGGGTGAACTAATTCGAAAAAATTATCCAAGATATCCAAAAGTTATCGAAATTAGGAACTAAAAATTTCCTTCATGGTCTTTAACATGACAAACATTTTTTTCTGTTGTATAATGACCGAGGACACTATTATTGACAAAGTAGAACGGGAATGATTCCGAGCAAATGGAATATCTTTCTCCAATGTTATGAGTTATTGTTGTTTTAACGCCGAATTTTACCAAGATTAAACGTCTTTTCTGAAAACCTGGAAAAAAGAAACAGTTACTTTCCTGGATTTTAGATAATAAACAATTTATAGAATGGGCAATTATGCTGTTACACGTTATGGTCAATTCTGCTGTAATAACCGGTATGTATATATATATATATATATATATATATATATCTAAAAAAAAAAACAATAGGAAAATGTATTATTAGAAACCACTATTATATTCATATCCTCAAAGTTTTTCAAATTCTTCTACTTGCTAAAAACATTTTGTTTGTTTTTAATAGTTACTTTGTTTTCAATAAAATCATTTTGTTTTTCCCTTGAAAATGTCCACATCGGACGAAACGCGTTGGCTAATAATACAGTTGTCCGATTGTCTTTTACCTTTACACATATTGTCTTTTTTTACAAGTTAACTAATTTTTCATATATATATATATATATATATATATATATATATATATATATATATATATATATATATATGTATGTATTGTGAATTTAAGTAGCAATTCCTCTTTTATACGTGTTTCGTTAAAGACGACTGACAAGGTACTGTGATTAAGCTTTTTATTTAATTTTTCTTTTGTTGTACAAGGTTTTTCTTTTCAGGACACAAAGAGTGTAAAAACTGTCCAAAAGTTATTCGCATATCGTAAAATATAGGATAATTCTTAAAGTTAAGCTAAAAGCTGACAATATTAAAACTGAGGGCCAGGGTCGACAAAGCTTAAATATAATATATTGTAATATTAGTATTAATACAAGAATATAAAAATCCGGTACTCTCGGGAAGTGAGAGAAAATAAACCACCAGAGTAGAAGTGGCGTTTGTATTAAGCATTCAAACGGTAAAAGACCTGGTCCTAGATGCCAATCTAGCAGCACACTTAAATTCATGTAGTCGGGGTTCCAAGGAAAAATGATCGTCAAATCAGTAGCCGTGAAAATATTTGTAGAAAAGACAGAGGGAAGCCACATCACGTCTGTGAGGAAATGCCTGAAGTCAAGATACCAAGTGAAGCTCGATTATATTGCAGATCATTCTATAGATTTTGTCAAGAACCACGATATTAACAGTAAGGGTACCAGACCAGATATATTCAGTGCACAGGCGAAAGGTAGATTTGTAAGTGTGCATGATGGATTAATATATATATATATATATATATATATATATATATATATATATATATATATATAAATATATTTTATATAAATAAATATATATATAAAGATATTTTTATATAAATAAATATATATATAAAGATATTTTTATGTTTATACGTTTTTTATCGATACAAATATTTAAGTAAATGCTCTATTTATAATAAACAGTATTAACAACATTTACCGGCCTGAATGTCCGAGAAATTATCATGGAAAATATGCAGCCTTCAACTATACGGAACTGTCATATAGCCTGACGTGCCTTTACCGATTGAGCCACAGAAGAGCGTTCGGTTAGCATACAGGTTCCATTCCTGTTGGAGGACGCATATTTTCTATGGAAATTTCTCGGACATTCAGGCGAGTAAATATTCTTAATACTGTTTATTATAATAAACAGAGGTTTTACTTAAATATTTGTATCTATACAAAGAATGTATAAACATTAAAAAATCTCTTAAAAAATAATCGTCGGACTTTGTCCATTTCATAATGCGTGACGTCATTTTCTTATATTTGCATACGCATTGAACAGATATGAATGTATGAGAAAAAATCATGGAGAATTGTGTTTAACAACAGTAAAATCGACCTTGTTAACCGAACGCTCCTCTGTGGCCCAATCGGTAAAGGCACGTCAGGCTATATGGCGGCTCCGTATAAGATACAGTTTCGATTACTGTCGCATATTTCCCGGACATTCAGGCCGGTAAATATCGTTAATACTGTTTATTAAAAACAGAGCATTTACTTAAATATTTGTATCTTTAAAAAGAACGTATAAACATAAAAAAATATCTTAAAAATAATTGTCGGACTTTGTCCATTTCATATCTATATATCTATATATATATATATATATATATATATATATATATATTGTGTATTTAGGATGCTATACTTCATTTATGCATTTTTTATTAAAAACAACAGACAAGGTACTACGATAAACCTTTTTGTTTCTTTTTTCTAATGTTCATACAAGAGTTTTCTTTTTTGAATACAGAGTGTATAAACTGTGCAAATGTTCTATAATTCCGACCGCTTTCGGTTATACTGTTAGCCATTATCATGGTTGATTTTATTTTTGCTTTTTAATTGGATGTATGGTTTGTGTATAAGTTTTTAGTGTTACAGAGATGTTTTATTTTCCGAACACAGCACATTGTGGCTGCGCTCGTAGTTAATATTATTAAGAGTTGTTTTTTACTTTTTTTATATTAAGGCGTTCATTATTTTTTAAACTTTTTTTACATGTGCACGAGGTTATTATGTTTGTATTTTCTACTAGCATGTTTCGGATGGAGTCTGGTAAGTTTGTGTGTTTAAATGGGTTCTAATAGAGCAGTGCTCAAATAGGTGTAACATAAGACGTCTGGAATTATAGGACAATTAGACAGTTTCTACACGCCCTGTGTCCCAAAAAAGAAAACACTTGTTCGGACACAAGAAGAATGAAATAAAAAGTTTATTCGTAGCACCTTGTCTGTCGATTTTTAATGTAACATACACACACACACACACACACACACACACACATATATATATATATATATATATATATATATATATATATATATATATATATATATGAAAAATTTCTCCGATTTAATCAGTAGAGAAGACAATATTTATGAATAAAAAATGACAATAGGAAATTCAGCAATTACCAGTTTTCCTATTGTCATTTTTTTATTCATAATATATATATATATATATATATGTATATATATATATATGTATATGGAGAAAGAGAGAGGGGTGTTTGTATGTGTGTATGCTAATATTGCCTTCAGCTACATACACACACATATATATATATATATATATTTATATACGAAGGCACTTTCTTGACGCACACATATATATTTAAAAAGAGAGAGGGCGAGAAAATGAGTATGTGTTTGTGTGATAATGTGTGATATGTCCTAAAGCAGGGGTTTGTATACTGAATGATCAATTTGGTGTTTAATTTGTCCAAATTGCAAATGATGTTCCTTCCGCCATTGACTAATAGAAAATCATACCCTCCCTGCTTTCTTGTCTCCCATTTCTCGGCAAGTCGGACAGTTTCTAGTTCCGAAGACGGACATTTTCTTCGAAACCACCCGATACCTTTCGCTTTTGATCTCGAAGACTATCTTCGTATCCACCTACAAAACCTTTTTTCTTCTTCTCCCGATTAATTCATAGTTAATCCCAATCAATACAAATCCATTTTATTCAATTCCTTTGGAAAAAATGAAAACAGCCTTGGGCAAGTTTTCATTTATCCTTCGAAAATTTTATTTTCCCTCTACAATCCTGTTTTTTTTTTTTTGTTTGTTTGTTTTTTTTTGAAAGTAAGAAAAAGAATTAGGAAAGAATTCGACAAGAAAAATTTAATATAAATCTGGTGTTATGAACATTAATATTGTTATTCAAAATTTCAGGTCTTCAGGCCAGAATGAGTTATGGTGATTCATATCACACCAATAATAATAATAATAATAATAATAATAATAATCACCTGATTAGTGGTTTCAAAATGATACCTCAAAAAGAATATAAGAGGAGCTATGATAAGCTATGCTTTATATACATTGATTATGGTTCTAAAGTATCGATAGCAAGTTTCAGAAAAAATTGGTACGAGCGTTTGTCTTTCAGAACAATTGAAGAAGTTGGAAAGCCCACAATATTCTGGGACTATGATTTTCAGATAAATGATACACCATTACCATCCGGATATTATTGTGTTAGGTCAGTGTTTCTCAACCTTTTTAAGCAACGACAAACCTTGGAGCAAATAGCACACTTAGCAATATATTTAAAGGATATACATTTAAACGTTAATGAATATATCCATAGATTAAAAACTACACAAACAAAAATGAACTTTATTTCAATGTTACTATTCAACTATTTGTGCAGCTTATTTAGTGTGAAACCATTACTACTTCCGCATACACATATATATGTATTCCATGAGGATATTTCGCGGCATACTTAAGAGGATTGCTCGGCACACTAGTGTTGGTTGAGAATCAGTGTTAGTTAAAGGCACTAAAGATTATCATCCTATTGATGTTGAAATATCAAATGACATAAATATATCAAACAAGGTGATTGAAAAAAATACAAACTACTCTGATTTGGAACTTAAGATGGTAAAATTGTTTGGAATGCAAGGCGGGAACGTCATGGTGATTCCAGTAGTGATTTACACACTGTGATCAATCCCATTAAAACTGAAAAATTGACCAACTCAAGCCCCAGACCAATTTGGAGTTATGCAAAAATCGGCTCATTTAGACACTGCGTATATTTTGAAAAAAAAGTGTTGTCTGTCCAAGGTCTTCGTTGGGACATGACAGATAACTCAGTGTATACGAAAATATACAGTGTGACAAAAGATAAAAACTATATCAAATTAAGTTAGTTTTCTTATACTGCTGATAGTAACGATGTATCTTGCCTAAACTTTGTGGTACTCAAGAAAAAGTTTTTTTTAACATTTCAAATAATAATAATAATAGTTATAATAGTTTTTTATATATATATATATATATATATATATATATATATATATATATATATATATATATAGATAGATAGATAGATAGATAGATAGATAGATAGATAGATAGATAGATAGATAAAGTGACAATGCATTACTCATAAACAATGCATTACTCATACATAGAAATTCCCAGGGAACTTCCATCTAAAGAATGCCGCACAATTATGGAAAAAAGACGGAAAATATTTGATAGTGCCGCTATCGTGTCTAACCAAAATATAAATCTGCGCTTCAGATTTTTTTCAAATATCTCCTTTCATAGAAGATATTTTCGTGTCTTAAGCCAATATCACTGCTAATGATTTTAAAGAATTAAAAAAAAAGATTACGTTCAAAAGCTTTTATTATTTAAAATATATAAATACATAAATTAATTTCTCAAACTAAAATAAATAATAATTACCAAATAAATAAATACTAATATTAACACCCTTTCGTTTATTAAATGTTAAATTACAAGACTTAATATTCTACATAGTTTACCTTGACTTTCAGTTAGCCTGTATATTTATGAGCGTTCATAAATTAGCCTGTATATTTATGAGCGTTCATAAATTAAATAATTTTGAAAAACTAACATTTTCTTTCGCTTTATAAATAGTTGTTGCAAAATGAAATCCTTATATAGTCATCCACGGACAGACTGTTTCGCTGTATCACAGCTCATCAGTGTGGCTAGACATCCGGTTGCCTGTAGCTAGGATCGAAACCCGATTGAATTGGCGTCAGTCGGGGGATTCTAGCACTAAGCCGTGGGCGCACGGCAGGGATGAAGGTGAATTTAAGTGTATTTATTTTTAGATAAACACACAGTGACCGAGAAAACTCAATTCGATTTACCGAAGAGTCTTGCATTAAGAGTCACTGTTTACAAATCCACACTTTCTCCCCAGAGAGCTCAACCGAAATAATTTTTTCAGGAGCATATACTGTCATCAGAAAGACTGTTTCGCTGTATCACAGCTCATCAGTGTGGCTAGACATCCGATTGCCTCTAGCTAGGATCGAAACCCGACTGAATTGGCGTCAGTCGGGGATTCTACCACTAAGCCGTTGGCGATATGTGTATGTGCATGTGTGTATTGTTCTTTTACAGATATAATCTATCTGTAATTTTTACACACACACTCAAATACACACTCACACACACATATATATATATATACATATAGATAGATAGATAGATAGATAGATAGATAATTCGGACACAACAATGTAGCATCAACGGAGCTTCTAGAAGATTTTTTTATTACAAGTGACTGTAATTTCGACCAACAGCTTATGGTACGCATTCTGAAAACAAATATTAAGAATCTACGGACCTTGTGACTCTTAAAACGCGTGAGGATAGTTACGTATACAAACTACTAACTTCCTGTCTGAAGGGAATGAAATGAATGACAGGAGAGTGCTATAAAATCTATACTAACCTATTTGATTAATTCCTCTTTATAACTAATCAACTAATGGAACATTTCAGGATGAGCAACATTACCATCATATTAAGTACGTTTCAGTTGCATTTGACGCGTTGATTAACAACCAGTCAAGCCGATTTCTTAAGATAAGTGACATACAACATAACAAGCGACGTACAAAGACCTTTTTGTAGATTTTTTAAAAGAGACATACTGTTGAAATATTGTTGAACATTGTCAATCTGTCTTTTCTTTTTCTCTTCTTATATCGCGTCCTCTCTAGGTTTATCATCATCATTATTATTATTATTATTATTATTATTATTATTATTATTATTATTATCATTATTTCCTTTGGTTTCTAGTATATTCTCATTTCTTTTCGGGGCCTGACCGGAGACCTAAGGTCAGAAATGTCAACATGACATTTTCCACTGAGCAGTTCTGAAAAAAAATCGCACATATTTTACATCGATAAAGCCCTTCGTAAAGTGTGGCCTGTACTTGTGAGTACAATTTTTTGTATTTCTTTAAGGTATGGGCTACCAGGGATTCCTTCACTGAGTCTATTAGAATATTTGCCAATCAATCCGAGGGCTCCAACTACAACTGGAATTGTTAATGCCCTCGTGTGCCACATTTTTGCGTTTTTGATTTTAAGGTTTTTGTATTTTGTTATTTTTTTTTAAGATCTTCAAAAATATACGCAGGCTGTAGAGGATTATTATTATTATTATTATTATTATTATTATTATTATTATTATTATTATCTTTGATTTCTGGGGTTTACACATTTCTTTCCGTGTCCTGCCCAGGGACCTAAGGTTAGAAATGGCATCATGACACTTTCCACTGAAAAAAAAAAAAAAAACTTACATGGATAAAGCACTTCGTAAAGTGTGGGCTGTAGTTGTCAGAAATTTTTTTGTATCTCTTTGAGGCATGGGCTTCCAGGAATCCCTTCAATTAGTCTACTGGAATCTTTTCCAACCAGTCCTAGGGCTCCAACTACAACAGGGATTGTTGATGTTCCCATGTGTCACATTTTTGAGATTTCTATTTCAAGGTCCTTGTATTTTGACAGCTTTTTGAATATCTTCAAATATTATTATTATTATTATTATTATTATTATTATTATTATTATTATTATAAGTAATTAAGAATCTGTTTACCTAATCTTAAGCGTGCAAAAATTTATATGTAACAGTGTGAATTGTGATGTATATATCGGTAAGGGTTTAAGTAAAAAGCTGTGTAGATGTGCATACGTCGGGATAATTTTTTTTCTAACATTTGCAGGCTTTGTCGTAGACAGGGAACTGTGGCATCTCCACTACTTGGCTGTCTAAATTGCAAAATTCTCCTTTCTCTTTTCTTTCTTCCCGCCTCTCCTACATTTGCATTAGATCTCGTCTCTAGGTGCCCCCCGGGAGGGTCCAGTCACACATTAAGCAGCAGCGGCAGCATAAAGCTCAAGTTGGGGGGTCGGAAAAGAAGCAATGACGGTGAAAGAATGGTTTGCCTCGGTAAAAACCTCTGGGGACCATAGAAGCTCAAGGAAGGGTGGGGAACACGCGCCAAGGTGGGTCATTTCGCGTGAATCACTCTCTCGCCGTCTGTAATGGCATGTTATTAACGAGTCGGCGTGATTGAATTAAATTAAAATCTTGTCCCTAGTTGAATCCTAAGCCGGGCATTTTTGTCGTAAATGAAATTGTACAAAAAGCAACGCCAATTGCTACGATGTGAGACCCCGCAAAATAAGAATTTTATGGCAGTAATTCTATATTGTGGGACCGACACTAATTGTGAGGTGTCGGCAATCTACATGCAAAGGCGGGCAGGAGAAATAAGATAACGAGAAACTGCAAGAAAGGATAAATAAAAGAACAAGAGAAAGACAGGGCGTCAAAGAGAATAAAGGCAATAATAATAATAATAATAATAATAACAATGGAGCTAAATCGTTGGTTTGTGCGTGAAGTGAATAAGACATAGGTTTATTTAAAAGGATCTAGTTAGCATCTTAACAAGGAGCATGAAGACAAAGAGAATATGTTAAAGGGTACATAAAGAGTAACAAAAGACGGGAAGTTGTAGAAAACCCTGATC